GATACATTGGAATCTCTACCACCACAGTAGTACCGAAACAAAAATTGACGCAAATAACAAAAATTTTAGTCTTTAATAATTTAGTTGAAGTTAAATGTAATTTCCAGAATATCTTTAATTACTTATTGCTGAATCTCCAGCAGCTTGCATATTTTTTACATTATACTTTCTTGATCAAAATTTTCGTACATCCAATTTATTTATTTCGCACTGATTCCAAGTTAGCAGCAATTATACAATAGAAAATATGTAAATAATGTTTCTTCAATATCAAATTAACTACATCGAAATGTTAATGAAATTGATAGCAGGTGACGATGCTTTGATATGAGCAACGTTCTCACGCTCAATGTTTTACAGGAGGAGATATTAGGAGATAATTTCATTCGCAGTTTAGTAAAACTTATTTTATAATCTATGATCGGATATTTTACATTACAGTATATTTTTAAATGTAATTTGATTCAAATTTCTCGATAATGTTTCACGAAATCTTATCACCGATCAATCCAATCAGCAGTTATTTTTAATAAATGATATATCCTAATAAATGATCCTGAACGGCGGAAGGCCTTGGGTTTGGAGACAGAAATTCCCCAAATAAATGCAGTCCCGATCACCATCGTCTGATTTAATGCATTTTATTTGGAACTTCCGACTGAAATATTCATGCCATCGCAGAGGCGCCGATGCGGTCGAGAGGTCATTTGAATTCTGGATTAACAATTTAGTTGTGTTGAGAAGAGCCTGCGTAATGGAAGGGTGTTTCTACCGTGAATCGCATTTGAATAAAATGTTCGATCAAATAAACACTAGTTATGACCTCCTGCATGTACTGTTGCCTAAATGAATTATTAAATTTTGAATGTATTTTTATAAATTCCCAAATTCAGTAAAAGGATCGATTAAATATTTTATTAACTCATTGAATTCCTGAATCACGTATGATCTGCGACTTAAAATTGATAACAATCCTATGAACTATTAGCACATGTTTCAAATTAAATAACAAATTAAGATCCAAAGGGAAATTATGATAAAGTCTACGGTCAAATGATTTGGTTAAGCCTTGCATTGCTCTACCACAAGCGTTGCCTTATTTAGGTCGGCTTTCATCATTATCTTTAGTCACTCGATCTCTGCATAAAAGTATCCAATATATTTTTAGGACTGTCCTGGAACTCTGAGGACATTCATGATATGGGTCACTGATTGCTTCACATAATTCGATCATTTCTCCGGATATAATATTGATGAAGGTTATTCAATGAAGGTCAGGTTATTCAAGCAGAAAGAAGGTTAAGCCTGTAATATCTCAGGAAGTAGAATAAATATTGTATTTACATTTTAATTAAAGTTGTGGTATTGTATTTAAAATTGTGCTACGACTAAAGTGAAGCTTGAAAATTCGATCGTGTTGTCATTGTTAGTCTAAAATACTCAGAAACCATCATCACGAGGAGCATCATATACTTAACCAACGAAAATGTGTACTTTGTTTGAAGGAAAATAATTACTACAAATCATCCAGCATTCTATGTCTATTGCAAGGTCTTCATGTAATAAAATTAGAAGATTAATCTCAGAATCTAAACAAAAATTACGAATACGCTTTATGAATTACATTCAATTTTTGTTGAAATTTGAAATAAATACACGTGAGCCCAAACGCCTCAAAGAAACACGGTAATCACGGTTCTATTAGCTGTTCTTATATAGAGGGATCAATTGATATAATATTCAATCAATCAGTGTGCCAATTAAGATGCAACCAATTTGCAGCCTATACTAAATTCTTACGGACTAAGGATTAAGGATATCAGTGGTATTTTGAGATGGTATAGAAAGCGTAACAAGCCAAAATAAAATCAATTTAGAGGCTTCCATCGAGAGCCGGAGAAATACAGTTTCAAGTGAAAAAATATTATTCGGAAGTGATTTAACATGATATCATAAATTATTCAGAAAATCACAGTTTAAGGTAAGAAACTTAAAACTATATAGACTTAGACATTATCTAAATTGGGAAGAAACCAGGACGAGAGTTTGGGGATTAGGCAGACATAAAATTTTGTCAAATAATGCGTAATAATGCGAATTAGATTTGTGATCTAATATTTCCACACAAACTCAGCATAAATATTATGATTTTTTCCAAAAAACAATATTCTTCTGCAAGCTCCCTGTGGTTCACAGCGTACAGCGCACTCAATCAAGCTACACATTTTATTTTGGAATTATTCTCAAACTACACGAATTGTTCCTCATTCATATATATACTCTAATACTATGAAGCATCTATGCTAGTTCACTGTCAATGTGTTGATTCAATAATATACTTATCAGCTAATGAAGTTCACGCTCTCAATCTAGTCAGCATTTCTAGGAATTTACCTATTTTTCTACTATCATTAATTTATACTCTCTTATATGCAATGAATTTATAATAGATGAAAATGCAAGGAAATACATTAAGTGTTGAATGAAATCTATGAAACAATGAAAATTTAAATCAAAGTTTCAACAGTCAACTATTACGGCCAAACATGATAGACGAAGGTATTTCCCGGTCCATGAAAGTTTAAATCCCTAGATGTAAGTAAGAATATTTTCAATGGATCCAATACTTAATAAAAGCCGAGAAAACCAACACTAGTTTGCAGTAACGACTTAATTCCAAATGGAAACGGAAATTTTCATTGCGGTTACTCCCATTTGCTATTTTAGTTTTTAGAGCGTTAGACTAATTTAAATGTACTGCAGCGCTCGCGAAAATCGATACACAACGGTTGTGGCCATCTACTAATAAACATTATATTTATTAATACATTTTAATGTCCTAATGACCTAAAAGGGATTCTCTTTGCAACATATTTGGGAAACAAGGAATAACTGACGGATCAATTAATAACATGAAGATGCTCTTATAATCAGTGTATTGAGATTTTGAAATAAGACCGCATATACATTGTATGATTCCCGTTACAATTTTATCCCAGAGCTTCGTTGCACTTATACATGAAGCTGGTAGCTTTCTGCCGTCCTGGTGGCAGTAATACGCCGTAACTGCTCAGCAGCGCACGCAAGACAGAAATATTATTGGGAACGTATTAATGTTCCAAATGAGATGCTTTGCAGCCCTTAACTCCATGAGCTAAAAAGGTGGAACGATCATCTACGAATTAGGCCTTGACTTTTTATTGCTAAATCTACTCACAGCAAAACCATTCTTTAAGGAGAAGAAATATTCGAACATTAATTGTACCTGTAAATTGTATGGAACCTCAGATTTTCTCATCTCTAGCTGCACACATCATCCGCGAGAATAAATACAAAGATAAGGAATAGAATAGAATAAATCATTTGGAGATACAAAAAATGTAGTCACGATTTGAAGTTATGCATTTCGAACGAAATTAGTTCTTTAAATATACATTTAATTCGTCAAAAGGCAGCTTAAACCTCTCATCAGTTTGGTCGGTCGATTGAATAAAAATAATTACTGAATACATTATATATGCATGTTGGGCGGCAGCAATGTGGCTCACAGGATCTTGGTTGGTCCGCGTTCAATTTTTTCATGTACTCTAGTTACTCATTAAAATATGTGAGAAATTTCTAGAGAAGTCACCAACATAGTATAACATAAAAAAATATAATAGATTTAAATAACCATACCCAAAAAATATTGAGGTATTCTTTGCCTCAAAAATATAACATTTTTGGCAACCTCCAACGCTATTTACGAAGGAATGAGCAAATTATAGATCTGAACTCAGTTACTGAAGTAGATTTTATGATAAAAAGAGTTAGGTAATTAGAGAGCATTTTCATTTGATTATTTATAAGTATTTTCGTCCATGACTGAACAACAAATCTATGCTTCAGTCTTAAGACGCATATTTGATTGCTCTTTCTCATACATATCGACATTGATTTACATTAAAGTCTAAATTTTTTTCTCATTATTGAACACCTCATTCAGACCTAGACCAATTCAAGGGATAAACGGGTGCTAAAAAGTACGTAACATATCAATTCTACTTCAATTAAAACAAATAAATATTGTTTATCTGGAGAAAATAAATCCCAACATTCAAAATAACGATGAAATAACGAATAATACCAATAACTAGCTATTTAGTACTTCAAGATGAGGGTTTTAACATAACGTTAAATAATAACGGAACGGAATGTTCCCCTAGCAGGGATTTGTTCAAAATGTTAAACGTAATCATTAAAAGATAATACATAAAACCTGTTACAGCCAACACGCACTCCCCAACAGCAAAAAAACCCAATTTTTGGCAGGATAACGCACTGTCATAATTCTATCATACCTAAGGTTAATAAAAATATCGGCATCTATCAACTTTTGGTATAAAACACAAAACAATAGTTAAATATATGTATAGGGCTTATAAAACTCATTATCTACTGATACTATCACGACAGGGAACAGGCCACGTGGAGGAAGATAAATTCAGATGCCGTGTCAACGACCAATGATGGCCGTCGGTATCACGTCTACAGCGATTTCTCAAAGTCCGAAGATTTAAAGAAGCAGCACTTCTAATAGGATTTGAAAATCTCAGCTAGGGCATTGATTCTTCGATAGAATTACATTCCACCGCTCATAGTTTTGACTTCGCAAAGTCTCTGCGGTTCCAACTAACAATATTTAGCTGCACCCTACAATCTAAGGCCGATCCAGCTACTGCAAAAAAGCTCATATGTGTTATTCAACTCAAACATTCTATTGTCAGCGCACACACCGGCGCACACTAAGTTGGAGGAGTTGAATAATTTTCTATAAGCTGTGCGTCGTTTTCTGACCTTGATGCATAGATCCTTAATGAATTGTTCATTATTTTATATTCACAAGAATGATTGGATATGGACTTATCATGCTCCACGAACTTTTAGGCAAGCCACCACCAAACTGCGGAACGTGATTGCGGTATTATATTCCATCAATCTTCCTCACAGGTGACGAAGCTTCAGCTGATGTCGAAGTATAGACGCGCGGCAGCAAGCATCGCTGCAGCCATGAAGCTCGCAACGCTGCATCCTTTTCCCCCTGTAGAAAATTACGAATGTCCGTGAAGCAGCGATGACTAACATAACTTATATGCAGCACCTTAACTCTCTGAAATTTGATTTCATTTCAAGATTTGAATTTTTAACTATCTATTGAAACATTTAACTTTAGTGGCATCTTGTCCAAATTAAGTTTTTATTTGATCGAAATTATTTTTCGTATATTTTTAAAATTTTTTTATTCCCAGATGTGATTTGACTGGAAAGATTAGTCCTCAGAAGCATCTTGGGACAAAAACTGTGATATATGAGAACCACCTCGTCTGACCGGCAGCTTGGATCGGTGAGATAAATGCGCAGGAACAACGACACATCAGTCGTATAGTGCATAGTAAGATAAAAACAATTAAATAATAAACACAAATAAATTTTAAACGCACGTAAATATTGAACGCAAATAAATATCAGACGCAATTAAATATTGTTCACAGAGTGAACGAGTGAATGAGGGCGTTGGAATTTCAATAACCGTTTCCTCATTGTTGTTAATTAGGTTCTCCTCGTTAAGTGAGGACAATATTTATAATTGTTGAGTAATGTTACTTCTCTGGTCGTAATGAATGAAACTATTCTAATTTAATTTTTTCCTGTCATCTAAACAGTGCTTCTCATAGCATTGATAATATCAGGAGTTTAAATACAGACAAATATAAGATAATATAAAATAATCTTCAAATAATAATTCTTAGGAAAATAATAAGATACATGGTAAGTTCCTAGAAAAGAGGTGATTTAGCCAGTCAAAAGTAAAATAAAACAGTATAAATCTGAGGAGGGGAAGAAAGGAGTGAAATTAGATTGCTGCATGAGAGGCCTTGGCCAATTCGCAAAAGGCAACGGTCATTTCCCTTGGGAAAACCGTAAGAGAAATACGGAAGTTCGGATAGATTGGCAAGACTGCAAGACTGTCCCAGACAACTAATGTCCATCTAGCATCGGGACGTCCTCATGCCAATTGGAAATGTCCGAGCCTTCACAAGATCAATAGCTCACCTCGAGCCCCGGAGTTTGAGAAGAAGTAATCCCTCATCCTGACCCTGAGGGTTTTGACGGCCCTGTCTTGCAAGGGCCCGAGGCTGACGCGACACTCGACCTGTACGCTGCCGCCGGCCTCCACCACCTGCACGCAGCGGTACGATGCGAAATTCAGTATCCAATTAGGAGGAAGACATGAAAATGTTACTGCTACATGAAACTCATGCTATATTAGTAACTATAATGACAACTCAATAACAATTGTATTCAGGAGCGTTGGAACATTTATTAAGAAGAAGACAGCGTGTCTGACCTGCTGGGCGGGGACCTTGAGGCTCAGAGCTTCTGTGCCTCCGCCGGGCGTGTGACCACCAAGCGCCTCCAGCAGCGGGGGGCCGACCTACGGAGGGACAGAGAGGCGATCTGTTAAGACAAGCAGAGACTTAATATTAGTATCGAAATGAAACTCATCATTAATTGCGGCGTTGATCTTGAGAGTTGATGACATTAGGCTCGATCAGATTAGTAATATTTTTCAACCACATTTTATAGTGATAAATTTGGTTATTCACGCTCATCTAAACCTATTGTCAGTTTAGAACCAGGATATCTGTTATTATATTCGGTTTCAATATGATAACAATTCGCTAGTTGCGGTTTTATAATTAAAGTTACTTTGGTCATCCTGTTCTCACGTAAAACAATGTCTATTCAACTAACATTTATTTCCGAAGAATTGAAATTATGTTCTTGAATTCTCCTAAGGATTGTCAATTTTGTTAGTAAACTGTGCAGTATTCAGCATCATAAATTGTGCGAAAGTACTTTAAAAAAATTATCGGTAAATTTCGATCCCTGTTTAAAAAAATTCTCTGTTAAATTGTCACTGAAAATTTTTGTATTCACAAAATACGAAAATTTAATTGCACATAAATTATTTCATGTAGAAATTAGCATATCTATTTCATATTTGGCCGAAACTTAGTGAATGATCCGGTATTAAAACATTGTACTCTGTATTCAATTATCATTGATATTATTGAATCTTATTCAGTCTCCCAGCCGGTAGGCAAAGTTTTACATTTATATGTTTTCAATATTGTATTGAGCAGATAATCAATCTATTTTTCTTCTCAATCAAATATCTTTAGCTTTCATAGTCAGATGATTATTTGAAATGATCGACAGGGTAATTTTGCAAAGGGATAAGGTATATGACATACGGTAATTACACAGAGAGATAAGGAACATGATCTACAAGATCCCGGTGAAAATATTACCCTGGCGCCAGGCTTCAAACACACCCACAAACATACACACAAACGTTAAAAAATATATAGCAGTTCTAACCGGATCAGTTAAATTAGATTTGCCTGGAATGGACGAAGGAGACAAATTTTAGGCTGCCCTAAGCAAATGAAAACATTTAAAGTTAGGCGTACACACTAAAATTTATATTCCGTAACTCCGTGCAATTGTTTACTCTGACTGCATGTTCGAAGTACACCATTTGACGGTATCGGCAAGCGCATTCAGTTCCAGGGCAGCGAACGAGGATTTATTGACACACCAAATTGGTGATTATTGAAACTTTTCATCGCACCTAATGTGGTGGGTGGCAGTTGCCATTTGTCAACCATCAGTCAAGGTCAGACGTCACTTTTCGCTGTCTTTGCCACGCCACCCAATCGATGGGAAGAAGGGCCATTTGTGGCTGCCGCAAGCAGAGGAGTGGTTACGTGCCACAAGTATTTATTTACCACTTGAGTGTTTAATACATGTCGCAGTTATTAAAAAAGAATGGTGAACGGTGTAAGTTCGGTAAATAATTGTAAGTATTCTGACGGCCTTTGACCAGATTTTTTAATGCAAGTCGTGAGTCGGTATGGAGATGACGGTCGGTCGCAAGAATATGCATCGAGATTCACGAAATATTAGATCTAGATGAATGATTGCGAAATTTTGACCTCGTGCAATAATATATAATAAAATATTTCCCATCAGTATCTGAAAGAGATTCCGTAATTTTGAGCAAAATTTGTGGAAATTTGAACATCTGGAAAAAGAAACTTGAATCGATAATAAAATGTTTACACGTGATTTGTTAGCAACGCATGTGGTTGAACAATTATATATTGATATGCGTACTGTAATTTTGTTACATTAAATTTTAAAACTGTCTATGTTTGGGCTTTAAATCTGTAGAAAATATTTAAAAAATGGGCTTTAGAAATGCAAAACATTTTTTCACTGCATCAAGTCGGCAAAGGCCTCTCACGTTAATATTTTCCGACAAATAAACACGCTACAGAATCGTTAGAATTCAAAATCCTTACGCACCTTATAATTTTGCTTCACGTATTATATTATATCGTGATTTTTTCTAAATATTCTCGCGTGCAGGCCACAAAAATACTAGTAAAATAATAAACAAAAGATGTTTAAATTGAAATATTCTTCAATGAATAAGAAGAAAAATATCCAAAGAAAAGAATTTTAAATTTGTCTGACTCGATAATATGAGGTGCGCAAAACGGAATCCAAAATGCAGACAATGTCATCAAAAAAATTTGACACTTTTTATCATGTTTTTGGGATTCGCTGATGAGAGCGGCGCCTCCATTATGTGGCGAGCCTCGCGTGTCTGCCTCGCTGCGAGCCTCGACCATGTCACCACACTGCGTCGCTCGCCAGGATTTACGTAATCGAAAAGCAGAAATCATTACTCGGTATTATGCAAATACCGCGCCAGGGAGCAATATGAGAGCAATACATGCACCTTCCCCCAGACTGTGACCAGACTCTGGCTCCTTGTCACTTCTGAGCGAGTAACACATGCACCTTCCCCCAGACTGGGACGAGACTCTGACTCCTTGTTACTTCTGAGCGAGTAACACATGCACCTTCCCCCAGACTGGGACGAGACTCTGACTCCTTCAAGTCTGTCGTGGGGGAGGCTGTATGAGAATGCATTTGTTTGTCAAGGCTCGCAGAGGGAAGAGATTTGCTGCATAAATAATACCTGTGCGGCTAATAGAAAAATGATTAGGAAATTATAATACAGTAGAGGTTTTAAGTTAGGTAATTTAACTCATATATAAGAAAAACAATTGATGATTCGCAAAGAAAAATAAAGAATTTGAGATACCATGAAATATTTTATAAGAAATTTTTCCGTGTGAACGTTGTAGCGACTAGGAAGATTAAGTGTTTATATTTTTAGCGAACCTTTTGTTAGCTTAGTTTTAATAGTCTATTTTTTATGCGCTCCTATGATTTACTTGTATATCCGACCTTTTAGAGTGTGAAGATAGCCTACAACATAACACTAGTTTCATGCTAGCTCAGTTCGTAGCCCGCGTCAAAACTGCCCAAAATATTTCGGTGCGCTGATTTATGTCTTCATATAAGTTGTTCATAGTTCTGATGATTATTTGTTACTCTGAATATTATAAGCATACGATGAAGTTTATAGGGTTAATATATTTTTTTGTTCTTACAGATACAACTTTTTAATCCAATAAAAGGTAAATTTGTTGTTGAACCGTGGTTATCCTAAAAAACGCGGACTTGCGTCAAACCAAAACCCAATAAAACGAAAAGCGTTTCAAATTAAGTGTAAATTAGGATATTTGAAATTAGGGAACAAGATGCGCGATTCGAGAGCTTGAAAATGAGTGCACGGCAATGTAGGCATTGGTGACGACCTCGTCTTATTGGTGATAGGTTTCCGCTAACACCAATGAATTATTATTCTCGCGTGCAAAGGACTCTTGTTTAGTACTTTAACGCATTTAATTTCACCTCTAGGCCCGGCCCAACGCATTATAACCTTTGGGCCCGTTTGTTGTTGCTACGAAGCTTGCCGTAAGGCTCTTTTCTGATACGCGAATCAGCTTGCTAATCCATCTGCCGCGATGTGAATATTCGGGTCAATGCGTTACCTTAAGTTTCTCATACTGCGTCAACTTGCTCTCTTTCTAACCATAAAATTCTTGAGGTAAGGCCGATATTTAATTATCAACATAACCTTCTTTAATCATTACTAAAGGGTCGTAAAACCACTTTCTAATACCGACTACAGCAATATTTTAGATGGTGTGTAAATTGGTCAATCTTTCATTATATAAATTTTGAATCATAATCAGCGCAAATTGATCATATATTCAGTTGTCACTCTAGAATGAATTCTTAATAGCTATTACTTATCGCTTCAAGTATAATTACGCTTCCTGTGTGTTCATCTTACTGTGGATGTAGTTGTCGGCTTATAGCGGCCGCCTCCTTGTTCTATTTTGATGTTTGTCAGTTCCTGTTGTGTTTGTTAGGTTTTGAAGTATGAAATGGATTATGGCCGTGTTCATTTCTGCCATCGTTCACATTGGAAACATTAAATATAATTATTGTTGACTGTGAAATATGTCAGCTCATAGCGTTTCTTTACATAGGTATACCGTTCATTCTTCATTTCAGCGCTGAATTTTAATTTCGACTCCAAGATTCTTTTGCGCATTCAGAGAACTTACAGTGCATTCTCAATAATAAAATCAATCAAAAGAGTTATATTCGCGTTATTTCATCATAATATTTAGTAAAAAATTTATATTACAGTAAATTCTTTCAGTCAGAGAAAGAAATATATACATTTATGTTGTTCTTCTGTATAAGTATGATTAAAATTAATGTTATGCTTTTAAAAATTTCCGGCTTGAATTTTGAAACATGGAAAGGGTAACCAGGCACCATTTTTATCACCCGCTTTGGCTACTTACACATTTGCATTGAATTTGACAATCCTTATTGGTCGATTAGTTTTTTTGAACTTTATTCATTTATGCAGCGGAGTCGTTAATTTTGTTAGATCATTACAACGTGGTAAAGGGAAAAGTCAAAATTATTAATTATCGTTCAGAGCTAACAGTTCTACCAGAAATCTCGTTGCCATAGCAGCATGCCGGGGCATCACAAGACTCTCAGGCTTCAGACAATAGTAATACTCCCGCATTAAGCCGCTGCTGACATTACAGTACATTATTGCCAGCTATAATTTTGCTGAACTAAACAAAAATTCTATCTAAATTACAGAGCAAGAAAATTTTACACAATGTATTCATGGACAAATCTAAAATGTGAAAATTAAATGAAACTATAATTGTAATCGAGGTTGCCCTAAGTCGCGGGATATAAGAGTGATATAGAAGAGAAATGTATAACATTCTACCATGCAAGATTACAGCCAGAATAATTTCTGTACGATAGTTAATTTGAAGTCATATCCATATAAATGAGCATCCGAGAAATGAAAGAAAGACGCAGTTTTCCGATATTGTCTAAGCTCTAAGGCATTGTAAGTTTGGTTATCCTAATGCACGACTCCATTTGAAAGACGTGAAGGCCCATCAAAAGACACTGGATATTAAAAAAACATAACTCGGTACTCACTGCTGTGAGTGACAGAGAGCGCATTTTCTCAAAATCGACGAAAACGTAAAGTCACGGATGGATCGACGGACGGACAGACGGACGGACGGACATGACGAGCACAATAGCGCCTTTTTTCCATAAATGAGAAAATGCGGTAAAAATGAACGATCGAAGACGTAATTTACTAATTGGCCTATCAGGCTATCTTAAGATGAGAGGACTGGCAACGCGGTGGCGTCTCCAGAGCAGCCAGCGCTTGCATGGGACGTAAGCGGACACTGCGACGGGCGAGTGGGAGGATTAATGAGGCGGAATAGCGCTCTCATTTCAACTGTTTTGAGTTGTCCTTGACTCGCTGAAACTGGCTTCAACGTTCAAATAAAAAGTGTAACACGGACGCTTTATTTGAAGAAGAAAAAATTTACATAATATCCTAGCATTTACTGAAGAATTCTTAATAAGTGTTATATGTTCGGTCGTGTAGCCTTTTCCTATTGCAATATTTTAACATGAATTGTTAGGCAAACCCTGAACAGTCTCAGCCATTTCAAAGAGGAATCGCAATACTCCGCCCTCTCTCGCAAATTAATTGATTTATAATATTGATAGAAATGCGTGGAGCTCTCACGTCATTCATTAATACATAAGTTACTCAAATCTTGACTTTAAGTCAATAAGAAAGTCAAGTTTAAGAAATAAGTTAAAAAATTTACATCCAGGTGATGTGATTGAGTCTAAGAATGTACCAAAAAAATATTCAATTAAATGGCAGAAAGTAGCTAAACAACATGATGAGTTGATTTTGTATTATGTGATTCATTGCATTATTTCCGTGGCGGGTCCCTATCAAGCGTAACAAGGAAATTGCGTACAAGTTATTGGGACCGAGCATCACAGAGATTTATTTGATTGATTAAATTTACACTGTGTTTTATATTCCATGCTGTTAATATCCAAGTTTTAAAATAACCTCTCAGGTTTATTTTCCTAATATCGTCATTATTAATTATATACAAACTCGTTATCATATTTTTATTTTTTAATTACTGATGACACTGAACAACGCACTTGGATGATTCCCAGAACTGCTATGAAGCATGAAAGGTTTTAATAATGTTGAAGATGTTCCTGCAAGTTTGCCCTGAGCCGCTCACCTCTTTGCCGTCAATGTTACTGCAAGTTTGCCCTGAGCCGCTCACCTCTTTGCCGTCAATGTTACTGCAAGTTTGCCCTGAGCCGCTCACCTCTTTGCCGTCAATGAGCCAACTGAGCCGAGGCTGCGGCTCAGACGGCGAGTCTCGGCCGTGATGACACGTCACGACGATCGTGTCCTCAGGCTCGTACATGTCGCGCACGCCTCTTATTTCTGGCGGGCCCAAGCGAGCACCTTATGAAAAAATGGCAATTGAAAATTTAATAATATCATGAAAAATGTGTGTTTGTTTGTGTTTACGTTTTATGACTGTAATTGTAAATATTGAGGTTTCTCGACTTCGTTCACACAACACCCTTCGAACAGGAATAGTACTATAATCAGAAAATCAAATTTTTATCTAGAATTAGGAAGCACCACTAATTTATTTTCAAATTTAGCACAAACTTTGTATGTATAACGTAAATGACGATATTTAGCGCGTTATTATATATTATTATATATATTATATTATTATGTATAATGTATTTAGACTAAATAGCGAGAAGCGCGTTATACATTGATATTTCTTTAGTTATTATGACTGTTTGAATGAGATTGTTCTTCGCCAGTTTTAATAAAATCGGTTGTGAAGGAATTTGCGAGTCTTAAGTCTTATTACCAAGTCCTGACAAGTCCAGCCAGTATCTATCAGGGGGCCTTTCTAAAAATCTTGTTGCCTGGGCTTTGAAAAGTGGTAGCTAAAACGTCGTACTTCGCAAGATTAAATTAATTCGTGTCGTAATTTTCTTGTACGCCTCCGTATCTTGACCATTATAGCCTTGTCTTTAGGCCTGATCTTCGAAGCACAAGTTCCAGAGCGTCCCGGCGGCAGGCCCGTAAATGTGGGAACGAAACGCCCGATTATGTAAAGCAGCCTTCGCTTCAGCGCGACATAATACTTTCGCCGTTACAATGTCCGCCATGAGAACCATTAATGTAAGTCTGCCTCGAGATCTTGAAAACAAGTTCGTTTTGGTTCTCATCATCACCTAAACTTGATCGAGTTTTACCTTGAGCTTATAACTACGTAGCGCATATTTTAAAGAGTAGTCCTTCTTCTTTCTCAATTAATCGGCTTCAAACTTTTAGACTGGTAATTTACTTAAGCTGTTCAAAGTTCCACTTGTAAGTTTAACGGGATATAAATTTGAAGTATTTTGGGAGTCTACTTAACATTTGGGAAGGAGGGTATATTTTTTTGCGAGAGTTGGAACTTGATCAAAAATTAGGTTATACGTACAAAGAGAAACCTTTCAAATATTTTGAAATATCTTATATAAATGAGATTAATCTTCCGAACTTGCTAACTTTCAACCGTGTAATTACGTGTAGAAGATAACCTTCCTTTTACTGCCTAATCTTCACGAAGCCAACTTCCCGATTTTACGTTTACCTTTCCAGACTCACTCAGCCTAGGAACCAAGCTACACCCCGCGTCCGTCGTGTCAGACTTGGGATCTTGCATGAAAAATTAAAGTCCCCTTCTGGGGGCCTCTTAGCGAAGCATTCTCTGGCACGATGTAAGCCCTGTCTGCTATACTGGCCATTTACGGTCCTCACTTAATCATCTCGCCAGCGCGAGTGCCTTTTGAGATTTCAGGATTGGTGCAATTGAGTTACATTAATGGGACTGCTGGCGATTTTTATCTGCGAATCTAGTAGTTTTAAAGTTTTAAGTTATCATTATTTGTCTTAATTATGACACACCTCGATTTCAGACGAAACGGGATTAAGGAACTATTAAATCAACGTAAAGTAGGCGCCACAGGAGTCTGCCCACGGCATGTTTCAGATAAGATTTTTCCTGAGCTAAGATTCATGTTTTTCGTTACTGGCAACATCAAAACACCGGAACTGAGTTGAAAAATATGGGACAGGGACTCCTTCCTAATATCCTGAGACAAGCTGCTTAGAATAGCCCGTGTTTATACCCTCGCAGAATGTAAACAATTTTCCGTAAACAATAACAACTCGACGATTCATTAATTTTTACGTATTAAAAACGTACATCATAATTATAAAAAATTAGGTTATATCGTAGCATTTTACTTAGATTTAATACATGAAGACAATAGAAAAATTCATATATTATACAACTTTGAATGATGAGGTATTTGAAATACTTTTAATACATGTTAAAATTGATCGTTATTCCATGTGACATTATATTAGGTATCAAAGACACTGACTGCGCTTCGCATGTTGACCGGCTTCTTTTAGCTCAGAAGCTACGCGTTAATTTTACATTGAATGGTGGTCTGTGTAAGCTTCGACTATGAAAACAAGCATTTGCATTTTTTTTAGCAAAATGGTAATTCATCACACAAAATTACAGCTACTAAATAGAAACAAAACGAGAAAAAAAAACTAGATTTAATAGGTTATGTAAAGCTTTCAACGACGACTGACGTACATGATCTTATATCGCATTAAAAAAACAAATAATCTTGAAGTTCAATGTGTCGTATCTCTGCATTAACCGAATTAATGCTCATGATTTTGTAGAAAGGTATTGTTATGAAAATTTTTAATGCCAATTTGTATCACCCGTGAGAAGGCCTCAACGTGACAACTTGTTGTTCTAATACGGGGTACTAAAAAATAGTTAGGGTATTTTCCGTACTCCAATAATACAATAAGGCAAGAAAGTTTTCAATGGATCGAGCAACACACATCAGGGCACTATCATAAAAAATACACTGAATATCATCACTATTTCTCTCCTTCGCGAGCACACTCCATAGATAGCATTTTCAACATTAATATCTTTGGCTTGCATAGCATCTCTTGTCCAGAAGAAATTGCGGCAGAATAAATGCTTTGGTGGTGGTGGTGCTGCTATTCTATTCAACGCATGAATGGAAAAAGTTCCTTTAGAACGGTACTATCAACAAAGGTTTTATTCTTGGTCCGTTGCAGCATTCTGCAACCCAAACATGTCACCTCAGGAATGCTCAGTGCTTCACATAAACCTCTGTATTGTGTTATTAATGCTGGACAGGATGGACCAGCGGTTACAGTTCAGAGTACCAGGATTAGAGCAGAGAGGTGCGGGTTCGAGACCGCAACAAGCTGCGATTGTTTTGCGACGCTATAAGAATCAGCGACAAGCGTATGACCCTAATAAACGCCGAAACAGCTATTTGCATTATAATATCAATTATAGGTGGTTTTTGCTTTCTAACATGATTAATGATGCTGCAGTTTTCTTGTTATTATAAACATGTCGTTGACGCACTTGATTCTGTGTAATAGCATTTGATTAGTTCACATAACAATGATTTACTAATTTGTTCTCGTGCCTTTGTCATGGCCTATGAAAATGGATCCTGAGATGATTAAGATAGATACACGTTGAAGAGATTTTGATGTTAAATTTGATTCACATATTAAAGAACACATATTTCTTCTAAATTCACACGTTAAGAAGAAATTTCAAACATTCCCAAATATTTTTGCCCCCCACCCAAAAAAATCTAATTAAGCGTTTTCAGTGCTCATCTAGCATGACGGGCAAGTTAATTTAACAACATCAACATTATTAATTTTTTCGCATAGTAGAGGAATCATTTAGCTCAGTACATCGTCAAGTAGCAAACAAAATCGCATATATAAACCACGAAAATGGCCAATGCTATATTATACAGGCTTCAATGTTGAAATTACAGTTTCGAATTATTTTTAAACCTCAAGATCATAGGGATTATTACATCACATTGTGATACTACGAAAGGATCTCGATCCAAGACGGAGCCAAATATTTATTGCATTCAAATTTATTTCATTTGAATGAGGTTCGCGAACCTCGAGGCTAAACAATATCGAAGGAGAGCTCTACTTGTTTACTGAAGTCTCCAGACAACGCCGACGACTAGACTTCACTAAACCAATTTTTATTATATGGAAAATAAATGTCGTATTCAATACCTACTGTTATTCCCCATTGTATTTTTGTGATAATTTATTACATAAGAAAACATGTTTTCTTAATAGTGATGAATGTTCCCTAAAACTAAGTGTTTGAACAAATGAGATTCTAGTTAAAAAAATGCTGAAGGAAAAGAACTTTATTCTCATCGCAGCAGCTTGGTCACGATATTATGAGACGTCCCACCAGGCACCAGAAATTGATATATCGTTGTTTCAACGAAATCGACTAGTGATCAACGTTGTTTCGACGAAATCCGCTCGTAATTAAATGTTGATTCGAGACGGTGTCTCGAGGACCAATTTAAGTGCCACATCATTTTTGGTGATATTTGGTTATGTCAACGCCTTGGTGATATGACATACCATAACATAACATAGTGATCTCGGCGCTGCAGTGTAGGCCTGGTGTGGCCTGTCGCCGATTCTTTTCCTTTTCGTGCCTTGTTCACAGAAGATCGAAATCCTGTCATTTGACCGTATTTTTTCATGACTGACGAAAGTTTGAAATAGCTACTCGACTTCCACCGGGTTCGATATGGTGCTAGGCATTTCAAATCTGAACATATATTTTTCCATAGCTTTATCTAGTCTGTTCTTGAACGCGTTCATACTTGGAGCGCCAACGATGTCATCGGGGAGGCTG